AGGTTGTTATATTACATAAACAATTCAACGTGAAAACAACTACTCGTGTAGGCCTAACATTCATACAGGTTGTTATATTACATAAACAATTGAACCTGAAAGCAACTACTCGTCTAGGCCTAATATTCATTGAGGTTGTTATATTACATAAACAATTCAACGTGAAAGCAACTACTCGTGTAGGCCTAACGTTCATTCAGGTTTCTTATATTACATAAATAGCAGTATATGTATAATGTTATAACAGGGACGTATTCCGATAACATTTTGGGGTATATTTGTAATCATTCCACAGATCTATATCATTGTTATCCGTAAGTATAGCTTTCTGATCTTTTGAAAAACTATGTTAAAATTGTCATAATAATAAGATGAAAAAGTTGAATAACAATACGAAGAATAAAGCAAACTCCATTACTAAATTCAACCAATATCTTGCTAAATGTTTGTCCTACAACACCTCGAAGCGTTGCAACAAGTGTTTGAAAAGTGATGCAAACTTTTACTGTTTGTTTGTTGCACAACGGTATATATATAGATGCGTTGTATAAGCCGTCAACCTCAATGCTGAACCGTCGGAAGGGACCATGTTTGGCCTAGTGGCTAACACGATGGTCTGTGAATCTGAAGGTTCCTGGGTCGTATCCCGTAACTGAAAAAAAAAACGCGCTCTACATTTACAGGCTACAGGTTACGTTGTAATAGTAACGTTGAGACTACAGGTTACATTGTAATAGTAACGTTGAGATTACAGGTTACATTGTAATAGTGACGTCGAGGCTATATGTTACGTTGTAATAGTGATGTCCAAATTCTTTTGACTAGCTTAGCCTGATTTTCCGAAAACAGCCAACAAGCCACTAAGGTACATTTAACGTTTACTTCCTACTAAGGGACATTTAACGTTCACTTCCTACTAAGGGGCATTTATTGTTTACTTCCTACTAAGGGACATTTAACGTTTACTTCCTACTAAGGGACATTTAACGTTTACTTCCTTTACTACTTCACAAAACGTCGTGCCAGAATTTTTCTGTAAAAACAACGATTTCTATAACAAACAAGGAGCTTTTTTTCAGAGATAATTCAAAATTTCACTGTCAACAAATGAAACCTGGTAAATGTATTAAACCTTAATGTCATTCCTTACTCTTTATTGGTTGGTTTCTGCGTTAATTAAATCCGCCAACAGAAACTGTACGTGTATACATTAAAGAGAGGAATGTGTAATAAGAAAAAAAGTAAAAAAATAAATAATAAGTCGTTAACTTCATGCTAAGAAGCTTGCTTGGAAAGTTTCATTCAAGCGTATGCTTTAGATTCTCGAAATATCTTTTTTTTTATCTGTCGCTACAACCAAGTTATTTACTTTAAGTGTGATAAAAATGTTCTATTTTGTATAGTTAGTAAAGATGCGTGGCTACAGAGTTAAAAGCCCGAGTTCACTCGCGATGGTAGCATGAAATTGAAACTTTCAAAATCCAATTAAATTACAAAGGAATAGAACGTGCCGTTATGCAATGGTGGATCATCTCGCCTCCCTTCCCCATTGGAATTAATAAAGAAAGCGTTTTTTTTATATAAAGGGGTCATTATCTGGTGGAAGAACACCCCCACCCCCTACCAAAACTTTTATTTCAAGTCATGAAGTCACTGAACACTCTCCACCTTTTCAGCTGTGGGAGCGTTAGAAAAGTGACAGTCATTCCCGTTATTCGGCTCAAGAAGCCAGACAAAACACTAAGGGCAGGGGAGAGCCGCTTGCTGGTTGTCTTTCCTCTAGTCAGTGGTTCAAAATTTGCGGTGGCTATACATGAACACTAGGGGTCTCTGACCTGACTGTTTAACCCACGTGCGCACAAGATGCCTTTTACTGAAGGCACTTGTTTACTTAAAACACGTCTCTATTACAAATAGTTTGTGTTGACGTCAGAGAATTGTTAAAATCTTCAAACTACGTATGACATTACTTTAACACTACAAGTTTGTCTTCCTTATAGTGTAGTGTATATTTTGTTTCGGATATTCACAGTTTTGACCAGAGGTAAAGCAGCTAGTGAAAATCACCCATCGCCAACTCTTGGGCTACTCTAATTAAATATTGGAAATTTACTGTTACTTCTATCACAGATCCACAGTCCCAAATAGTAGGGCGCGATTTTTTCACTTTTGCATCAGCGGGACGCGAACCATGGAACCCCCGGACAGTTTTCAAAAGTTTCGATAATTAGGCCTCTTTAGCCTAACGTTGTTATACTTCCATCCTTCGGGTCAAATAAACAAAAGAAGAAGTAGTGTAGCAAAGAGTAATATGATGAACTTTTGAACTTTAACGAAACGGAGGAGTAACGCGAGTTTATTACTGTATTGACTTTATCTAAAGGTGTAAACTTGCTGCAATTTTCCCGCGATACCACTAAGTTTTCACAAAGTTCTTTAGTGATTGGTCACGTTGTAAAATGTGTGTTAAATACGCTTTAAACTTTATTAAAAATTTCTTTAACCCATGCCCTTATAACAAACGTTTAAAACCTGTTCATGCTGTTCTCCAGATTTTCAACGTGTTGAAACTCTAGTCCTAGCTGAACGACGTCACGCACGTGGAGACCGACTTGATGCTTAAACTTAGCCACTAATACCAGGAATATGTTTAAAGACAGACAGGCGCCAGCTGCGAAAACAACACTGGTTGTCATTTCCGTTATTAAAGGTAAAGACTCAAATTAGCCAATCAGCATCTAGCATCGTCGCTTTGTGTATCTTTACAAAGAAACAACTTCTATCGAGGCCAACGTCTGAAAGTCCGCATGAAGTCAGTGAATAACAATCTGTCCTGAGAGCCAGAAAATAATGATTTGGGATGATAATCACCCCTTTAGGCGTTATATTTATTTTAGTGTTAACAATCACAGAAAATATCCACTTCTTCTGTAGAATGTCCTCTGCTAAGGTACAAGAAACTTGACGTGGTCCTTCTTATTTTCAGTCTGAAAGGTGGCACGCGGATAAAACAGTCAGGTCACAGCTTTCAGGTTCAGGCACAGCCGTTACTAACTTTGAACTGTTGACCAGAGAGAGAGGGTCAGCGCCGACCTTAGCCACTACAGGGCCTTAGACAAGATACAAAGCGTGTGACCCCTCGTGGTATTCGGTAGAGAAATTTTAACACAAATGTGACGGAAAGTGTACAAAACAAAACACCGTTGTAGTAATTTCATAATTCGGTACACTACATGTTGTTGTTGTTGTTTTGTTGTTTGTATTTATTTGGTGTGTGTTGGGGGGGGGGGTACAATTTCATGTTTAATAATCAATCTAAAAATATCCATAGCGAATGGCTCTCAGGCAGCTGCCTTGTCTTAAGGTTGGTTGGGGTAGAGGGAGGGGGTAGCCAGTCTTTAGTGCTCGTCCCCCCCCCACACACACACACGGACTACACATTTTTAAACACACTTCGTTATTTCAAAGAATTCAAAAGAGTTCTCATTTTCAGACAGCAAG